AGCTTACTCAAGTATTCTCTGCTCGTGGAAAGACTGCAAGAATTTACATCGAAACTTACTTGTGATGCATAATCCAATGGAAAGACATGTTTGAAACCACAGCGAAAGTGGAATGAAAAAATCGTTAAAAACCAAAGAAATCAACAAGACTCACCAAACGCAATCCCATAAAACAACTGCGCTCACTAAGAATGGAAGAATGGACTCAACCAATAAAAATCGTCTACCCGTAAACCCTAACTTACCTGAACTTGGAGAACAGCGCTCAATGGGCGATATCAAATTTAACACGAATGTCGCCACGACAAAAGAAATAAAAAGCAAGGACGAAAAGCAAAAAAGCACACAAACTCGCGAACTTAAACTGCATACCTGCGCTTTACCGCATGGTCCTTAAATAAAATTATAGACTGCTTGCACAGTCACACAATGTGACGATAATGGAGGTCATTTGTCAAATTACAGTCTTCAAGTTTAGAAATGTTGAAAACGAGATTGTATGGTGGAAAGTCAGAATGTGTGGCTCTTCCGGTTTCCCTTTTCCTGTAACAAATAAGATACCAAATATGTCATACTCAGCTCAAATATATTACATTTGTCGACTTATTTATGGCGATCACCTCAAGTCGCCTGTCTGAAAAAACTTGCAGGAACAGATTTTGTCATAGCTATCCTTTTGCGATAGCTCCTTTACTAAAAATATCTGGGAATTGAGGGACTGATCTTGTCGGAATTGTTGTATCGTAGCAGAACTTAAGCTGCTCACTAGTATTGCAGCAAGACAGTGTTATCAGAATCAGATATAACGAAATCTCTAACATGGATTCCAGCAAATTTTTGCCTTACATCAGGTTGAAACTGTTTTCAATAGAAACCGCATAGAAAAATTCCTTTGGCAAAAAGATGACATTTGCCAGAGCACCAGCTGTTTTTCATCATTAGGTGTTTACTATTTTTTTAGAGGGAAATTTTTGAGTAGATTTGAAAGCAAGGCAGCAAATTGTTTTTTATTGAATTCCCTCCCTTCTACTTCTCTTCCTTTTGCTGCTCCTGAAACTACGTCGTAATGCATGTCACACTTTACATTTAAGTGCAGTGGTTGCACTATTATCGGCGAATCTGTACAGAAGTAAAAAAATCCTCACTTAACTTCGTAAACTGGAAAAGTTTCACAAATGATTTACTCCCACTATCACCCAGTTTTGATAATATGGAATGCTTTCTTTGTAGTGGTCACAGTCTCAGATTTTCATTTCCAAAAGCAGCTTTTCATTACAATCAGTAATAGAAAAACATTGACTACCGAGTGTACTGAAAGCCAGTTTTGTTCAGTGCAATTTACTTAATCAGTTTTGAAAATGGTTCAATCATTCGAAAACTTGATGCAAGTGACTGAGCTTCAAACAAAGAGCCACTAAGGTGGCTCTTTGTTTGAAGTTCAGTTTGGAGTTATTATAACGGATAATAAGATTTGAAAAGACAAGTAATTTTGAATTTCGGATCTTATTACGACTTGATGATTTTTAGTGGTGGAAATGGTTAATAGCAATAACAACTAACAACAGTGCTTAGAAAACGCATCGCCCGTCTAAGGTTACGGAACGAAATGTATTTTTTGAAGCATCATTGTCATAAATTTGAACACATTATCATTATTATTATTATATCATTATTATTATCATTGTTATTACTATATTATATTATATATTACTAGCTGGCTTACCCAGGATATAGTGGATATCGATCGATGACGAAAAGTAGCCTATGACACCCGCCGGGGCCCGAAGTGTATGTGTGCCAAGTTTGGTCCGGATCGGTTCAGAAATGGAATTTTCTATTCGGAACATACGTACACACATACAGACAGACAGACATACAGACAAACAGACATTCAGCTTTATATATAAGATATTAGGACGGTCCGAAAGTTCGCGCTGTTTTTCAAACCCATGCTCAAAACACTTAGAATAAAGATAGACAAACGCTATAAGCACTATCCGATGCAAAATTTCTTTCCATTTCTAACGGTTATGTCTTTGCTCAGATTCTCTTGATGTCCGCCCAATAATCGGCAGGGATCTCCAAATCATGATTTTCACCCATCTTGAGTGTTTGGCTATTTTTACAAAATTTCCGTTTTCAACTTTTAGCTAGCTCTGATAACATTTGGATAGACTAAACAAAATGCAATAAAATACATTTTTTTGGCATCTCTAGCTGGGTTCGCAAAATCGAAAATAAATTTCTGATGCTATCAATTTCCTTATTTGGGCACCTTAATCCTCACAGAACAATAAGCGACTGGCAACCAGGGTGTCATTCGATGCAGCTTTTTCTTCTCTTTCTGATAGACTTCTTTTCATCCTAATTTACACAACATCTGTGAACAAAATCTTTGTAATTGTTGTCACACTCGTCCCAGGCTATAACCAGAATAAATGCAATCCAAAATTTCAAACCGCTTAACGCTCATTTGCTCGCTAAAATTAGTGTTAAGCGATAAGCTGTTTTTGGAAGCCTCAAGTTCCGAAGATTGTCAGTGTTTGAAGCAATTGTGTATTTCGCGACTTCGCATAAGTGGGGGCTTTTGGAAAAAATTACTTCAAGAAGTACTTAATAGTTAATTGATAAAGCTAAAATAGTTCATTGTATTGAATTTTGTTTAGTCTACCCAATTGTCAAAGTTACTCTAAAAGTTGAAAACGGAAAAAAAGCCAAACACAAGATGGATGAAAATCATAGATTGGAGATCCCTACCTTTTATTAAGCAGACATCAAGGAAATCTGAACAAAAACATAACATTAGAAACAGGAAGAAAATCTGCATCGGATAGTGCTTACAGCGCTTGTCTACCTTTATTCTGAGTGGTTTGAGCATGGGCTTGAAAAACATGGCCAACTTCAGGACCGACCCAATATTAGGTTAGTGCAAAAATAATGAGCGTTTTCCTAGGACTTTTTTCAGGACAACTTTTCTCCATCAAGCGTCTTTCCTTTTAACGGTTTCAGCACAGTGTTAGAAAGCTCTTTCCATGCTCTATCTGATGATGTTCGAAAGGAACTTCTAGCCCACTCTGTTAAGAATTTATAGAGCTTCACATAATCGCACTCAAATTTAGATTTTCATTGCATTCATTTTTCTGGCCAGAATTTGAGCGCTGAAGATGGTCTATCGAAAATTTAGCCGCTATATGTAATGGAAATTGTCTACATTATGCATTTTCAACCATATTTTTTTAAAGTTATCTAAAGTGAGATATCGGCGGCTTAACATGGGTAATGGTTGTGGTCATTTTAGAGCCCATAACTTTCTTTTGTAAAATGCAGTCGCTCAAACTTTGCTCATCTCTGTAAGCGTGAAGGTAAGAGTCCCATTAGCGGTTTTTGCAAAAACATCCAGCTTTTCAGTACGCAGAAAATTGAAAAATTCTCTACTTCGGGGTTTCGAGGCCTACTGAAAAAATGCTAAAAAATTGATATTTTTGAATTTCGATTTTTCGCTCTTTGCTAATCTTTTTTCTCCAAGCCGTTTCCATGTATATTTGTACTACTGGCTTGCGGCTACAAGAAGGCTGCTTATAAATCATAAGAACAAAGTGTGAAAGGAGTTATGTTCTGTCAAAAACAAGGCTTCAGAAAAAAAACTCTTTTTGTTTTTAAATCCATATTTTTCTGCCCATATGAGATATGAGTACAGTTCAATGTGCGCTGTACTGCGAAAGGTTCACTGCATCTGATGGTCTTTATCGCATTTCAAAATGTGGTTTTTGTAGAAAGTTATAGCAAGTTAAAGTAAAAAAGGGAAAACGCTCATTATTTTTGCACCAACCTAATATTATTATTATCATTTCATAACATTACTATTATCATCACAGTTAGGCCGCCGAAAATCTGAAGCGTAAAATCTAAAATTGTTAATATTTGAGTCATATGACCTACTGATCAATGTTTCTCAACCAGCTGCTGTAGAGGGCTAAAAATTTACGATCGTGCTGTCGAAGGCTGTGGTATACAATTACTAATGCGAGAACAGCTCAACACTGTTTTGGCAAAGGCATGAAATTTCCCGTTTTTCTTACTGATTTTAGTCAAGAAATGCAAAAACAAGTACAGCTATTGTATATGTGTATATATGATGAGGGATATTACGGATAAGCAAGTTAGCATTTTTTGAAGATCATGAGTTCCAATTTTTCTCGATTTTAGGCACTTGGATCTTTTCAATTTTCGGCTTGAACTTCGCGTGAATCAAAGTTGGTGCAACCTAACTTGTAGAGCTTTCCTTGCTTCATCAAGGGGGGGGGGGAGACGCCCATTACTTGTGGGTGTCAATCAGATGCCGCGCGCGACGCGGCGTTACAGTAACCAGGACGAGAGGCAGCAAAGTCAAAGGAATCTCAGAGGAAGTGTTTAGGGGTCACGTTGCTATGCTGAACAAGAATCACACACACTTTGTGATTAGATATATAGTAACATATTTCCATTCATTTTTTTACTGCTCTCATTCAATCGTCGTCAATACATTAAAAAGATAAATAACAGAGCTTATTCCATACTTACAACACCTCTATACTCAGAAGCGGGGTTTGTGCTATGATTTTAGCAAGCTTTGAGCTATCAACACCTGCTTTTACAACGTTAACCAAATGACAATCTTTTTTTGTTACGCACACGTTCGGCACGTGGCCAGATTCAATGCTTTTGAGTCAAGAATCAAGAATATATCTTACTGCAGCAAAAATTTGGCCTTAATCTCGTAGTCGCGTGAAAAGGCAAATTTGTTAGCGCAAAAGTTATTGCGCAAGGGCTAGATTTCATCACAGTCGTGCAAGGACCACACAAGTTAAGCTGAACTGAACCGTGCTATTCTACTGCCGTAAGCCCCAACACCAAAAGCGGACTCAGTCGAAAAAATTTAGCTCCATTTGGCTCCTTCAAAGATTTGTATGCGACAGCATGAATTTTTATCTAGTGCCGATTGAGTCAAGGGCGATTTTGGAATGGCAAAGATTGTCATAGTTGACCTCAAAACAGAGGTAAATAAAAATGGAGTCGAAATAGAAGGGAAACTCGGGAGAAAATCGAGTATGGTCAGGTATTTTTTAGTTGTGTTAGTTTTTGTTAGTTTTTTAGTTGTGCAGTTATCGTCTTCTTTTCGCCACCAAGCAATCCTCACTCGATGATACAAATTGTGTTTCAGTGTCTCTACATTCCAAGCCGCATCATCTGACAAAACTTGCACGTTACCTTCGAACTGTATCCCTTCACTTCCTATGTGAGCGATCGCTTAGCTCACCTGATTGAAGCGGAACCTATTACAACGTTGTGTTCTGTTACCTGATGTGTTCCTTCTTCGTTATTCACACAATACCAAAGAGAAACAAGCTCAAAACGCAGCCCTTCATTTTTCCAAGCTGATTTTTGCCTGTAGTGATTCTAGAGTTGATGTTCCACATTTCTTTCTTCCTGAAAATGAAAAGATCGGACATAGAGTTTAGCATGGCGAAAAAACCAATCTAATGCGATTACATTTCGCCGACTAGTGATTGTAGCATGGGTGGAGAGATAAAAGTTCAGTCGACAAAGTTGTCAAAGCAGCTTCTGACTGTGACTAAATACTCCCGCCACGAAAGTCGCGACGCGGTGAGAACGAAAAATACGGCCCACATTGTTTTTTTTTGAAAGTTGCCATTAGCACAATACATGGAAAGAAGTAAGAGGCTCTTCGTAAGCAGTTCTTTGAATGATTGAAATGAACAAGAATTAGTAATTGGGGAGCCAAATTTGGAATGTCTAGCACAAAAACATTTTTTTTTGAGTGTGGCACGCAGAACCTATAGTACGCTGTTAGATTACGCCCAATAAAAAATGATTGATGTTTACCCTTCTAAGAAACTTCGAGGATAGGGTAAATTTCCTGTCAAGCATGTCATCTTACTCCAGCAAGTCATTTTTCTTTCCCACGAAAACCTTCTCTTTGTGCGCGTGATGTGTATGTATGTGTACAATAGATTTGGCGCTCGCTTTTTTCACTTTTCGCTTCCTTAGAAAATTAAACAAGTAAATTTGAAAAAACATGCCTAGCTGCAATTCGGTATTGCAGGAATGTTTGTATATTACTGGTACATCCGTTTAATAACGCAATTGCGGCTTTGACGCTTTTGAATCGCCTAAAGGAGATCGTGGGACGTTAAGCGCAGGTAGTATTGGCTTCAAAATGCGGATCAATGCCTTAGGGAAAGCATGCAACTCAAGAAGTTTAGTTTAGTTCAAACTTTACCTTGACCAGACAAATAGGAAACCAAAATCTGATTGAAATTCGTGAAAATGTTCACAAACAACAATGAGCGATACATTAAGTGTTTCCTTTTACTGTAATGTCTCAAAAGAATTCCTAAATGTACGAAATTATAGTGGAAGTGAAACGGCTCTTAGAGGCAAATTACTGGTTCCACATAAGCGGTGAAAATCATCCATCAAACTACATTCTACAATATTTCGATTCACGTAAAAGAAGCACATGCATATCGTCCCGAGCACTAAACTGTGACAGTGTAACGACAAAAGGTTTTCGTTGACGTTACAGTCGGCGAGGAGCACCGAACTATCGTCAGGTCTGCTCTCATACAAACTGCAAAACAGTTTCGTTAAAAAAGTACAATAACTTTTTGATGAACGTTGTTGTAAAGTGACCGCGCAACTACCGTTATAAAAGACAAAACAGAGTTGCCAAGGCAATACAACGAGCATCAACCAGCGACGGTGAGTGCGATTTTAGTTCCGACGTCGATTTGGATTCTTATTTGGCTCATGTACAGAATTATCACTCTATAAGTTTGACTTTTGATGGCGTTCTGCAAATTCCCGAGATTATTGCTGACAGCCGATTTCGCAAGCTGTGATTTGTGGTTTCTTTCCTTACGGCATTAACTACTTAAGCAAACTACACTATATTCAACTACATTTTCTCTGCTGCCATGCTTTGACTTGCGGTCTTCTGCAGCTCTTTGCTAAATCTGCCTCGAAAATATCGTTGGAGTTGCTACAATATTTTTTTAAAGCACTAGGATATCCGCCCACATATTCAATCGTTTTGAAATTAGTTTAAGATTTTTCTCTGTTTTAAACCTATGCATCAACGGAGTGAACTAGTTTGATTCATTTTCTTCTTGCAACTAATCACTCTCAAAATTCAATATTTCATCAAAAAAGTTGACGCTAGTTCCCATTACCAGCAATTATATCACGAATAAATTTCGAAGCGCGACAAGGTGACACTTTTATATGTTTCGAGTATGTTTCCACATAATAAATCGTTTCGAACATTTATTCAACCTACATAAATGCGTAATTTAGGTGCGCAGATGAGCTTGCCGGCTGTTGTCGCCACCGTCACTGGTGTCACAGCTGTTACCACTGTCGTTTCTGTTATCACCGTTGCCTATCTTGTGAATGACATCAACAACTTCTACGACGATGCGATAGGAGAACTTACCGATTTCAAGGTGGGCTGTATTTTGTGTAGAAGAATCCTGCAGACGTTTTTTTTTTCAAACAACAACTACCTCCTTCAAATTCTTTAGGACATCGCCAATGCTGCATGGTATGAAATGAGACCATCATATCAAGAGCTTCGAGAAAAGAGAAGAGCTCTGTTTGGCATATCACGACAAAAGAATCCAAACAGACCCAGACGGCAATTCCCACCACAGTGTGCGTGCGGAGCCATATCAGCAAGTTGTCCGCAAGGACCACCTGGTCCGCCTGGACCGCCCGGGCCAGATGGAGAGCCTGGAAGGCCTGGAAAGGATGGACAACGTGGTGTTGACGGCATTCAGATCAGCTTCGGTGGCGGCGCTGGTGGATGCATTAAATGTCCAAATGCGGGACCCCCGGGACCTCCCGGACCAGATGGACCACCAGGACCACCAGGACCGCCGGGACCACCTGGATCTAATGGAAGAGGAGGTATGGGACCTCCTGGCCCACCTGGACCAGCGGGAGATCCTGGGCCAGCAGGACCAGCAGGACCTCCTGGACCAGATGGACCAGCAGGAATGCCAGGACAGAAAACAGTTGGAGTACCAGGTCCTGCTGGCCCACCAGGACCACCAGGCCCACCTGGACCTCCAGGACCAGACGGTGGAGGTGGAGGTGCGCCACAGCCTGGACCACCAGGACCTCCCGGCCCACCAGGAAACCCAGGACCACCTGGTCCAGATGGACCTCCAGGACCTGCAGGAACAGGTGGTGAGCCTGGTGGTGATGGTGAATATTGCCCTTGTCCGCCGCGTACAAGCAGCTACAAACGTAAAGGGCGCAACGGTTATTCTTTCAATAAGGCCGCTGCTGTAGCAGCTAGAAGGAGGGCTGCTCGCGGACCTCAGAGAGCACAAGCACAATTTAACAGACAAACTAGTCCTGCTCGCACTCCAGCGGCATACAACGTCGCTCAAAACCGAGTCGCCAGAGTACCTGCTCGTCCAGTAATCGCAAACAATATGGCTAGAAGCACACCACACCGTACACCTTTCAACACTCAGCAGAGACCAGCTGTGAACAGAGTTGCCGCACGTTCGACAGTCAACAGAGCTCAGTATAATTCCAGATCTGTGCCCAAAGTAAACCGAGCTGCCCAGGCAAGGGTTGCCCGACGTCCTGCTTACAACAAAGCTGTAGGAGTTTCCCGTCCGGCTGTCAGGAACACTGCACCCGCAAGAAACAGAGCTGTCCGAGGAGGGCCTACTCGTACCGCTGGTGTATCAAGACAACGCCAGGCTAAACGTGCGCCGTGAACTTGAACGATGTAGATGTTCATTTATTGTCAATACTGATAAAGCAATTTTGCGGAAAAAATTCAAGTTTTACTGTAGAGATTTGAATATTATTGATAATAAACGGGATGTACAAGTGCAAGCAGCGTACACATCTTGAGCTTCAACTGCGAAGAGCATACATATCTCAATAAATTAATATCTCTTCTCAATTTTCGGACATTATCGTAGATGTCTTTCGCCAAATCCGAGTCATAATGGAGAATGGCAATGGAAATTGCGAAACGAACATTCTCAACCCTATTTTTGCAAGCAAGGCAAAGCCTCTGGGCTTTATTCTGTGACAGTCACAACTACAGCATTCTCGAAACCAGCAAACTTTAAGACGTTGTTTCATTGGAGTTATCAAATCCTTCTTACAGGCGGCAGAAATCCGTTTTGGAAATAAATTCTACTGATTCTCTAGTGATTCTTGCGGAGTTATTTAGCAACCAGTACTTATGTATCCTTTCATACACTTCGGGAAAGGAATTTGGTGTGTTACCGCTAGTCTCCATTAAGAATTTGCAATCAGGTTACGCGAGGCTAGTGTGACGATCTAAAAATTCGTAGTAATCGTGACCAGTGTTAGTTTTTTTCGCTTGCCAAATTCATCATTGTACGCAGGATTCGCCGAATCCGAATGATCGACTGTTGATTTGCACATAAGAGCTAATTGATTTTGCGACAATGCGTTTCACTCAAGTAGCAAATAGCGAGAATATTCGAGAGGTATAAGAACCAGTTTGTTCGGATACCAGGTTGCGGGTCTCATCATCGTTGCTGCGACCAATACAAAAACTTCACAGTAACGTGGAATTATAGAGTGACAGTGATGTTCGTTCCGCTAACACCGGAATCTTTTTTACTGCTAATAACTTTTTTATACACTCGCACACTAGCTGTTAGTACATTCCGAATTCGATGGATACGAGAAAGGGAGAACGGTTACTGTAACCTACTTTGCACTATTTTGGGTAACTAGTTTTTATTACTTCATGTTAGATTGATATAAACACAAGTTTATTGCCTGCTCAACTACTTGTTTGAGACATTTGAGCGATTCAAACTTAACAGATAATAAACTTGCTGTTTTTGGCATACTCACCAAAGCATTTGGAGGTCTGCTGACGTTGTTAATGCGCTAGTGATAGTCACAGAATGTTTTTTCTTATTGCGCCAGCACCGTTTAGATCAAAAGATAATGTTGATTTTCTACTTGAGACTCTCAAATTCAAGTCTGTTTTGTCATGTAGCTCTTGTTAAGTGGAAGAAGGGGAAAGGGGGAGAGGTTGCATAAATCTCAGAAGGATCTTGGTTATCAACAGAAGTGAAATTGAAGCGTATTTTTAGCCACTGTCATGGTAAACGTCAGCTTCGAACTAATAATTCACTGTGGAGGCGGCTATCGACTTTATTCGCATGTCAAGGCCACAGAGTGTGTTGATTTCTCCAAAGATAATCCAGGTTGCTCTTTGAAAATTCTAAACTGATTGTTGATTAACGACTAAGTATAAATGAGATTAGTCTTTTCTGAAAGACTCGAGGATGTCAGAACAATGGCCCATAGTGGATCTTTGTTCAGCGCAACTCGGCTAAGGGTGGGACTACGTTGAAGGTAGAGCGCCTCAGTCCGGCATCCAATAAGGTATATCTGGATGTGGATCGCTTTCTAAACATAAAAATCTTACGCGTTATCAAAGAGGAAACAAAGAGGTTCTCGTTTTGGGCAGCTTTTGTGAAGATAACTCAGGCAAACTCTGTAAAAAGGAGCAAACCTATTTTCTTGTTTTTTCGCCGAATCAGATGTTCTTTGATCCTTTCCTTTTTGGGCACCGGTATTGTACATGCGCGTTCTTTATGTTTATATATTACGCACAAGGCGTGCCATAACCAGAACAAAACACGAGAACATAACCAGGCACAAATACAAAGAACAAAACAAAAAACATCCAATAAGTTAGCTCAAGTCCAGTCACCAAATGGTTTAGAAGAAAATAGGGAATTAAGCTTGTGTAGATTATGTATAAAGTAATCACTCTTCTTGTACCGCAGCAATAGTCGGCTAAGTTGTCCTGTAAGTTACTGACGAGCAACTTATGGGAAATTTGGCTGAATCTAATTTGCACATCATCTCCCGGTCATTCTAAAATTCATTTTCGGCTAAGTGGCATTCTGTCAAACTGACCGGACAGCCTTCTGAATGTTCAACTGACTATAAGCATGGGAAGATGGGCGGGATTAGGTTCACCTTAGGAATTTCTTCTGAATGATCAATCGGGTTACTTGAGATGTATAGGGGTTTACTAGGGGCCAGTAACACCTACACCACTTCTAGAATTTGAAAGCATATCATTGATATATGTACTTTGGTGACCTTGATTCTGAGTGATAAAATAACCCAACCTTCACCTAAAGAAACGGAAAACATTAGCGCAACTCCAGACGCTAAGCTCACAATCATTTAAAATGGTAGTCAAAACGTTAGTATGATAGACGAGTAAAAACCTGATTATCTAACAACACAACAACTTTTTCGCATGCAATATCGCTCAAAAAGACAGTTCTTGTATAATTTTCTTGATTAATTGGTTAATTTGTCCCCAGTTAATTGATTTTTGGACTATGAGAATTTCAGAAACGTTAAAAGGAAAACGAGTTTAATAAACTAGAAACTACGCTTGAATTTGAAGAGTCAGCATAGTTGCGGGAGTGCTGTTTTGCTTGGTTGTAGTATGGTCAACCTGGTGACGCTCTTCGAAAATCTACACGCCTCATGACAGTCAGAATAACATATCATGTTGGATTTCGCTAGTATGTCACAAAATCTCTGACCAAAGGAGTACCCAGTCGTCTCTGCTGTTTCTTCTTCGCTCGTCTGTCTCCACTTGTCACGCGCTGCTAAGTTACCCTTCCCACGAGGCGTTTTTAGCTTTGTTTGGCTTTCTCCGTTGTTACAAGTTCATTCCGTGCGAGTGCTATGCTGCTTATCACCTGCGCATGCTGAAGCAGAATAACGCAGAAGCGACAAAAACGGTAAAAATTTGAAGAACGCGTTTAAACACATTGGCTTCAATAATTAATTTTGACTTAGGAGAATTAGAACTTTCCGCTTTCGTGCCAATTTTTAAGCTAAATATCACTCTTCATTGAAAACTCATTAATGTATCATTTAACACACTATTATTCATGTGCAAGATTTGTTTTTGAGCGCCACACACGTCATCTCTTTGATCTCAAAGAAGAAAAAAGCTTTTCCTTATAAATGATATTGTGCCAAACAGGTTTTTGTGGTGGATGTTTATTGCCTAACGTTTCGACAGGTATCGTCTTCGTCGAAGGCCTGAAAAGGGATTGCAATTTTGTACTTGTCAGTCTACACGACCAAACGCCTCTTCTAACTCGCGGAGTTCAGGCCCTGTCTCAGTACAACGTAATGGGAAACAATTCGAAGTGGTAGATTCCAACCTTCAATCCACCGTGAAGTCAGTAGTCCGCGCGACTGCGACGGACATCACTGAGGGCTGCTCATTGAATTAGGGACATTTATAGTCCGCGGTTAGAGTTGACATAATCATCATAACTTATAATAACGGGCTAAGGGTGTTTACGTGACTTTGTGTGTGTGTGTCTGTCTGTCTGTCTGTAACGAAATTCATACAGCGGGATCCAGCCACCATCCCGAGCCCAAACTTTACATAGCGCACGCTACCAAGGTAGAACTCCAGCATGCAAAAGCACGAACGGATTCGTTGAGTGGGTCCCTCTGAATTTGCGCGCCAAACGGATCCACTTGGCTTCTGGCCCGCAAAATTGGGTCCGTATCAACGCTTTTTGCAAAGCCATGGATGTGTTTAGCAGGTTGATGAGTAAGACATGGACTTTAGACCAAAAAGTGATCAAAGGGTTTGCTACTTTACGAAAACGACGCCAAAAAGAAATGGTCGCGTAAATGGTCAATCCGCCGTGGTTCTACCTGAGCATTTGAGAAGATTTTTGCATAGAGATGTAGCTCACGATAACTATTGTCCTTACGGCGACTACCAAGCCAAAAAAAGTTTCAAAACCTGTTCAAATTTGCATTTGTTCTTCATTTTCCAAAGTTTCATCCACGCAAAATACCGATCTCACACGAAAAAGCTTAAGAAATGAGTAGTTGTTTACGAATCATTCGTGTAGGCGGGCATTGCGCTGTATGTTTCAATGCCATGTTATGCGGGAAGGAGTATGACATATAGATAGAAGAGCCAGTGCGAGCCTCTGCGAAGCAGAGGTGACGCACTGGTAACTTATAACAACTGGCTAAGAATGTTTACGTGACTTTGTGTGTCTGTGTGTGTGAGTGTGTCTGTTGCGAAATTCGTGGAGCGTGTCCCAGCCAGCGTTCTAAGCCCAAATTTTGTATAGCGCATGTTACCTTCATGAAAGTCCAAAATGCAAAAGCACGAGTCAATTCGTTGAGTGGATCCCTCAGAAATTGCGCGCCAAACGGGTCCATCTGGCTTCTATACCGCAAAATTCGGTCCGTATCACCACTTTTTGCAGAGTCGTGGATGAGTTCGATAGGCAACTGTCCAAGCGATGGAGTTTAGCCCGAAAAGTGGTCGAAAGTTTACTACATAACGAAAACGGCGCCAAAAAGAATTGGTTGTGTAAATGGTCAATTTGCCAAGGTTAGTACTCTGCGTTGATACCACTGCTTGCACAGAGATGTAGCTCACGGCTACTATTACCTCTATGGCGACTACCAAGCCATGACAAATCCAAAAACCTATTCAAATTTGCGTTTGTCTTCCTGCGAAAAGTTTTATCCACGCGAAATCGCCGATCTCACGTGAAAAAACTTTCTAAATGAGTGGTTGTTTACATTTTATTCGTGGTAGTCGGCATAGCGCGGTGAGTTCCAGTGCCACGATTTTACGAGAATGAATAAGGCACATAGATAGTAGAGCCAGTGCGAGCCTCTGCGAAGCAGAGGTGACGCACTGGTGATATATAAGGCAAGAAGTCATTTGTCATCGCCAAGCATTCATTCTTGTTATTCATTCCCGGATTTCCGGTAGATATCCACGCAGCCTCCAGTGTTTTTCG